GAACGAAAGTTAAATCAAATCTTATGAAAATTTTCTATTTTTCCTATTTCAATACAAAATCTTCTATTTATAAAAGCCGCTTAACCACTTTAGTCATCTTTATATAATTAAATAAGTTTGTAAACTGCATTGATTCTGTGACTCTGTGGTATCTTTTATTCCAAGCTCACTGGGATATATCGTGTCGACATATGAATGGAAATACAAGGGGAGATCAAAAAGTTCACGAATTAATTGAATTATTTCCTTAAAAGAAATAAAACGAGGTTTCCATGTTTATTATTTTTAAAGTAGTCCTCTCCAATTATAATGCACATCAGCCATTGCGCGAGTCACGTGATCCAGGCAGTCACGTGACATGCTCCGTAGCAGTCTGTAAACAGAAGCTAAAAGATTTTTCCTAGTTTTATATTTCTTACCAAGCAAGTTATTTTTTATAACATGAACACTCCATGTATCAGAAATGGAAAAATCTTGGCAATAGAATGGGTCGATAAGAATATCGCTTCCCACAATTAGTATGGTGACCCATCGCAACCCGAGTTCTCTGTCTCGGGAGCGTCGTTTATACAATGTGGATAAAGTATGGGCGCCTTCTTTTTATCATATCTCTTATGTTTAAAGTCTAAAGTAAACGATATTTTAGGGATTCAATAATTATATTATTGTTAAGATATTCAACTATTTTTCAAATTGTAACTTGACGATGTTTCATAACAAATTGCCCAACTAAGGACACATCTTTTCCCCCAGCTTGCTTTCGTAAGTCATTTGGTTTCATAAGCCTTGTACAAATTATCATAACATACTGCAAAAGAATTTCCAAGATATACGTTAAATTTTACAGCCGTTCGTTGCGTGAGTATGACTTAGTCAACCATTTTTGTCACAAGTGACCTACATATTGACGTCATTTTCACATTGTGACGTCACAAACACGGAGCAAAACATTATTTAACATCTGTTATTTATAGAGCATGTGTATGACTATATGTGTGCCAAAGTTCATTCTGATCTGAATTGTGGTTTTGTAAATATAGATAGTTCGCGAACTTTTTGATCAGCCCTCGTAACAAGTGATATTTATGTTATGTCGTCCATATACCGAAATGTCGAGTTGAAGGCCACATCATGAGATTTCTTTTTCTCATGTTTAAAATTATGAATAAATTTTGCTTCATATGAATACAAAAATAGGTCTGCTAACAACGGGGCGCAAATGGTACCCATGAGAATTCCAACAGATTTGTAAATTTGCAAAAACAAAACAACATTTTGCATCAGAGGGAAGAAAAGCCATGTATAGTGTCTTAAATAGAATGAAAGAATTGAATTTAATGTTTAGATATGTTTGAGACATATATAAGCTCTGTGCTGAGTTATGCATCTGAAATATGGGAATAACACAACGCTGAAGAGTCGCCCGCGTGGCGCAGTGGTAAGAGCGTCTGCTCTAGAGTCGCGGAGTAAGGAGTTGATCCTTACGTCGCGGGTTCGAATCCCACTGTGGGACGTGGAGACCGGTCCTTCGGATGACACCGTATAAACCAAGGTCTCATGTTGCAGTAGGTGCTGGCACGAAAAAGAAGCCTCACTGCTCAATGGCCGTAAGTGCCGAGTATAGGACAAAATTTGCAGCTCTCCACCGGCAAGTGGTGGCGTCTCCATATGAGTGAAAAATTCTCGAGAGGGACGTTAAACAACATACAAACAAACAAAGCTAAAGATGTAGAAAAAGTACATCCTTCATTCTATAAAAGAGTACTTAAGGTTAGCTTGAATACATATAAGAGTATGGTATCTTGCGAACTAGGTAAATTTTCTCTTGACCTGTCAGGAAAAAGAAAGCTCTAATACTGGTTAAAATTAAGAAATAGTGATAATTGCATTCTTAATGCATGTCTCCAAAAAAGAGTAGAAAATAATGATGACTGGATTGTTAATATTGAAAATAAATTTCATAGGCTGGGTATAGCAGAACTGTATGATAGTAATTGCATAAGCAGTAACACAATTGAAATTTTATAGCAGAGAATATGTGGTGAATATATCCAACACTATGTCAGATTTAGGTAAATCACCAAAATGCCTCATACTTTATATTTAAAAGAGTACCAATTACCAGATTAAGACTATCTGCTCATAACTTAATGATTGAACAAGGAAGATATAATAAAATAGTGAGAAATGATAAAACATAAAATCTTTGCGAATCAGGGGACATAGAAGATGAATTCCATTTTGTGTTAAAATGTCCACCTTATAATACATTAAGACAAAAATGCATAAAAAGCTACTACTCCCGCAGACCAAGTGTCTTCAAATCGGTACAATTACTTAGTACATAGAATGTAAAAGAATTATGTAATCTAGGAAATTTTTTCGCAATTTGAGAGTGCAACAAGAAAAGTGTATTAATTACTGAAATATCAATATATTATATATTATACATGTTGGATGTTAATCCCATCATCATATGTACTAAAATGTATGATTGTAAATATTGTCTATGAGAAGTATGTCTCTTGATTTTAATAAACTAAACTGAACTGAACCAGCTGTTTACTAACTCGTAGCACTTTGTTGGAGAGAATACAGCACTGTATGACTTACTTCTTTGAAGTAATAAATTAGCGATAATCAATTCGATCGTTTGGGTAAATCACACATCACCAAAAGAGACCAGACTGACCTTGTGTTTTTCCGGATTAATTGTTCAAGACGTTGGTCATTTTTAGAGCTTTATATATAAATTATATATATATATATATATATATATATATATATATATATATATATATATATATATATATATATATATATATATATATATATATATATATATATATATATATATATATATATATATATATATAAAGTACTAAAAATGACCAAAGACACGACAATGGAAATTGTCAAATTTTAGGGACGCCCTGTCCCTTCCTCGGGACAAAGAAAAAAGTTAAGAAGTCATAAAAACATAAGAATAAACAAGATGTGTTTGTGAAACACTATGCATCCGGCGGCAAAGTTCGAAAAAGCTATTTTTAGCGAATAGGTCACAGTCAAGGTCACAAGGTCATTGACCTTGGTGTCATTTGAAAGAACTTAATTAGTGGAGTATGCATACCAAATATGAAGTCTGTATCTCCTATGGTTCAAAAGTTATGGCGAAGGTTAAAGTTGACGACAGACAGACAAACAGACAGACAGGACAAAAACAATATACGCCCCCGATCTATCGATCCGGGCGCATAAAAACAACTAGCACTACATCTTAACTACCAAACACAATGTATTTACAATGTGACATGTTTAATTTGAAGTTTATAGCCAGTTGTAAAGAAAAAATTCCGGACCGCTATGAAATATGCCCAGTCTCTTGGGTGTACTCTGGTGAAGTGCGATTTACACAATTGAGCGAATTAATTAATTATCGCTAATTAATTCAGACCAAGTACGAGAGGAAATCAAAAAGTTTGCGATCTTATTGAATGATTTCCTTAAAAGAAATAAAATGAGGTTTCAGTGTTCATTATTTTTTAAAGTAGTCCTCTCCGATTTTAATGCACATCAGCCATTGTTCTGTCCATGTGCGAATCACGTGATCCAGGCGGTGACGTGAAATGCTCCGTAGCGGTCTGTTCACAGAAGCTAAGAGATTTTTCCGAGTCTTATATTTCTTACTATGCAAGTTATTTTTTATAACAAGAACAGACCATCTGTCAGAAATGGCCAAATCACGGCAATAGGATGGTTGGATAAAGATATCCCTTCCCATAATTAGTATGGTGACCCATCACAACCCGAGTTCTCTGTCTCGGGAGTGTCGTTTATCCAATGTGGAAAAAGTATGGGCGCCTTCTTTTTTCATAGCTCATATGTTTAAAGTCTGAAGAAAACGATATTTTAGGGATTTAATAATTATATTATTGTTCCAATATTCAACTATTTTTCTAATTGCAACTTGGCGATCTTTCAAAACAAATTGCTCAACTAAGGACACATCTTTTTACCGGCTTGCTTTCGCTGGGCAACAGAACAACCATCATTTTTAATCATCTCTCTGCCTTCACTTAAACAATCAATCCAATTAATGATTGAACTTCTGGTAAGTCTTTTGTCCTCATAAACCTTGTACAAATTATCATATTATACTGCAAAGGAATTTTCTAGGTATACGTTAAACTTTACAGCCGTTCGTTGCGTGAGTACGACTGAGTCAACCATTTTTTGTCACAAGTCATCTATTTATTGATGTCATTTTCACATTGTGACGTCCTAAACACGGAGCAAAACATTATATAACATCTGCTATTTATAGAACATGTACATGACTATATGTGTGCCAACTTTCATTCTAATCTGAATTGTGGTTTTGTAAATATAGAGATAGTTCGCGAACTTTTTGATCACCCCTCGTATTAAATCGTACACTGTCTTATTCTCTCATAATAGAGTAAATATACATGATAAAAAGAAACCAAAGAAAGATAATATGAAAGGGAAATTTCACAATATGAATTTAGATGTATTATAAATTCATCGGCATCGAAAGGAAGTTTTTGGACTTGCATAGATGGCCGAGCGGCCTAGCAGGCTGTTCCTGTACTGCTAGGAGACAGATTCTGTAGGTCGAGAGTTCAACCCTGGGTTGGGGCGGAAGTGGGTATCCTTATAAAAGTGAATTTCTTTGTGCTATATATATATATATATATATATATATATATATATATATATATATATATATATATATATATATATATATATATATATATATATATATATATATATATATCCATATATATATATATATATATATATATATATATATATATATATATATATATATATATATATATATATATATATATATATATATATATATATATATATATATATATATATATATAAACTTTAAACACTTGAAATGCTTATAGACGACATGTGACAGACCTCTTTAACACAATAGTCATAAAACTTCCGTGTTTCCGTAAAAATACATGTATATCGGTCGTGTGGTCCTAATATCCGCAATGTGCAATAGGAAAATATTCATCAATAAAATATATGTACATAATAATTTACAGAGGGAAAATATACAAGAGTAACATTTATGGATCATATGAAACACAAACTTTTATTGATTTCTTTATTTTTTTACACGCCGCTGTGCGAATCGTCCTCTTGTACAAGGTAGGGAAATTACTTATACACTAAGCTTTTCATAAAATTGCACCAACATGTAAGGTGATTTTTAAGATAGATTTGATCTGATTGCAAAACCATTTGCCTTGCAAAGCTAAAAATAATAATTCAAGTATTATTCAACAATCTCTTTATCAAGTGGATTTTACAAGCTGCATTTGAAATCATACATTTCTATCTTTGTGTTACGTTTAAAGACGATCATCACGTTTTTTCTCTTTAGATATACACACCAACTGTGTATTGAAGATTGCAAATGGAATAAGGAGAATAACAAGTGCGAAAGTCAGTATTTTAAAATCATTTGTAGTATTTTAATTTGAAGAATATTTGAACTCGATTAGACATTATGAAAGCCTCACATGAAAATTTCTTACAAGCCTTATGATTAATTTTTGAGAGATCTACGAGAAACCATGTAAAAATGAAAAACTGGAAGCAAGTCTCAAGGATGTACAGAATTTTATCATAACTTTACATGAACCCTATCAAGAGTCCAAAATATGGTGCTTAGTTTTGTTTGGTTGATGATTATTTTGCAATGATATAATAAAATACAAAAACCTACCCAATTTGACAAAAAGATATATTAGCTTACAGTTCTTAAATGATTATATTCATTTTTTTAATTGTAAATATTAGGCTGCCCGGTGGGTTACCAGGGAAACAACTGTTCAGTACCTTGTAGATATCCAAATTTTGGAAAGGATTGTCAAGAGGACTGTTCACATTGTGACGAGAAATGGTGTAATCCAACATATGGCTGTATAACAACTGTTACGACGAATAGAATAACTAAAGGAACCAGTAATAATCTCTATACTTCAAGTTTGTTTTTTTTTCAGTGCATTGGTTTTAATTTCTTAATATTACAAATTTGTATTATTATCCAAAATATTTAAAAAGCTATGTTTTATTATTGTTTTTATCTTTAGCTTCCTCATCCTTCAGTCTTGATCCTGTCATTATAGGAACTTTAACATCATCGGGATTCCTCTTGGTTTTCATTTCTTTCGCCATTGTTACGGTCTTCAATAGAAGGCGGTTTGTTAGAAATATAAGGAGAAGAGCACATTTCATCGATTCTATCATTATGGATTTTCCTGATGATTCCACGCAAAGAAATCTTACCAATGATTCATTGCTGCGTTATTCGAGGAGCTAATGTATCTAATATATGATTTACGCAATATTAAGAGTTCCAATGTTTTACATTAGAGATGCAGAAATATTTTATGGAATTTATTGACTCAAAAGTAGGGTAGGAATTGGGGTTAGCCAAAATTCATATTCTGAATTAAATATATGACTAACATGTGATTTTCTTCTAGAACATATCAAAATAAAAAGCAATTAAGTAAACTGAAAGAAAAAAGTTCATATTGTTTTATATCTAATATTTTTTGTTATTTTTGATGTTTGCAATATGACTTTTTTTTATTTATCTTACTTTTTTGTTTTTGGTCGATACAGTAACATCAACAAATGATACGAGTTAAACACACATTTTTCAGTTATTTACTTTACTGTTGGGTTTTCAGCTGCAAATACTGTAAAAGACTTTTACTCGTTAGCGACCTTGTATTTTCGAAACATCAATGTATTTAATTATGTACTTATATTAGGGATGGCAATCGGATAGTACAGAATTACCAATCGGTTAACCGCAAGATGTTCCGACCGATTAAATGGTTAATCTTATCAAAATACATGTACACATTTCCTTGCCGTATCTTCCTTAAGTGAGTATTATTTATACACATAAGAAGAATAAAATTGACGTTGGTAAAAATTAGTAGAATTCTGTTCACATTTAATCAGAACTCCATATATATTTATTTTAGTTTCAATAGGCGAGAAAAAATAAGAAAATTACGAAACATTCCAGATATCAGAGACATTAATATTTTTTTATAGACTAGATGTCACACAAATTCGCATAATCAAAACTTAGTCTAAGAGTCATAGTCTAAACTATCACTTAAAGTAGTACAAAACAGATAGGCCAATTTTTTCCTCAAATTCAAAATGTTTGAAACTTTGATATGTTGTTCTAAGATATAAAATCTCTATGAGTAATACGAAAGAAATTGAACCAAAGAGGTTTTCCCCCACATAGATTGAAATATAGTGTATCAGATTCCTGTATTATGAGGGTAAAATCAGACATTCATCTTAAGAATGTACATTGTTTAAAACATACCACATTTGATATATTACAAATATGTGTGATGCTACTTATAAAGTTGACCTTTTTGTTTCTATAAATCAGTAAAATATATTGATACCAGTGCATTTGAGTGCACTGTGATGTAAACAGAACATATATAGCTCGGGAATCGCAATTTATCATGTAAATATGCTACACTTTTTAAAAGATCTCTTTAAAAAATACTTACTTCAAACTCAGGTACATCACGAGAATGATTGAAGTTGTGATTGGTCATCTAAATTAAAAATCACTCTGATTCTATACACACAAGTTCTCTAAAGTTGATATCAAAAATATTCTGTAGTTCCTCATTGACAACATTTATGTAGTCTTCGCAGACTAGTAGTAAAAAGTAGAAGTAGTATAGAAACATTTCCATGAATTTTTGTGATCAATAGTACGATGGACAGTTAATGTAATATTTCTATCAGACAGATCAACTTAAAATTTAGATATAAATAAAAAATTTAAAATTTTCATTTGAAAATGAATTTGTACTATTCAAATCTATTATAAAAATGCCTCGGGTTTAAGAGAATTTAATCTCATGACAAACCAAGAAGTTTCTTCAAATTTTTGCAGTAAACGTGTTATTTATATTTTAAGTAATATGTAACCTACCAAATTTATGCAGCATAAGCCATCTGCATTTCCATCTGCCAAAGGTGTCCTCTATCACCTTCCTTGTTTTCTGGTGCTGTCGGTTATAAGCCTCTTCTGCCGGGATGCGGGGATCTCGTATAGGAGTAAGTAGGTATGGTCTCAGAGGATAAGCTTGATCTCCAAGTAAGAAACCCATCTGCGTATGTCGACTAAGGTAAGTTTGAACACCACACTGACTCCATATAAAAGCATCGTGAGCTGAGCCAAGGTATTTAACGAGCAAGTTGGTAAATTTTTTCTGACTGTCACGAATTCCTTGGACGTTGAGCGCATGGAAACCCTTGCGACACACATAAACGTCCTCGCGTGATGGTGGAGCCTTAATGGGAATGAATGACCCATCCACACATCCAATTACATTTGGAAATCCAAATTTCTCCATAAAACCTTCTTTTACAGTTTTTATTTTTCGGCCGTCCGTCGGAAATTGAATAATTTGTCCCGCAACATTTGCCAATGCATTAGAAACTTTCTGCACAGACCTAGAAACACTGGGTTGACTGAGTCCCATAATGTCCCCTATCACTTGCTGGAAAGAACCAGTCGCACAAAAGTTTGCTCTTCTAGGGTTAGGGCATGAGATCTTTTTGTGTCATGCGACACTTCTTGTCTAACAATGTCAATGACTTCCATCAAACAGTACCTTGTCATTCTATAACGGGAAAGAATCTCCTCGTCGCCATATGCATCCAATGGATTGAGCCTATCTCTAAAGATTCTATCCTTCCCAATTTTGTTTTCTTCTAAAATCGCCTGTATTAACGCCATAATAGAAAGACCAATATGACGTACTTTGTACACGTGTAATGACGTCATAATAGCCTTCGCTTTGTCCACTTCAGAAATAAATAACAAGTTTAAAAACTTCTCTGGGAAATGAAGTGGGTCGGTCACGTGATCAAATCCTGTCAAGGCCGAAGATTCTTCTCAGAAGATTTGATCACGTACCGACCCACTTCATTTCCCAGTGAAGTTTTTAAACTTGTTATTTATTACTTATATATACATTTGAGACGGACAATCGAATATAATCGAATATGAATATTGCACTAACTGTTCGTCGTAGATTTTGAAAAATTACGCAAGGTGTAAATCGGCTTGAAAAGCGGTTACGCTTCAAATTCTGTTTTGAAGGGAATATTCTGTGAAAGGTTACTTGTGATCAATTATAGTGAGCATATTGGTGTCTGGGAATTTTTGTATTCATGAGAACCCATATTCGATGTTGAAAAAAGCAAGAAACACGTCCGATGTTTGATAATAAAAAGTTGGAGGAATTTCGGTCGGAAAGGGATGGATGGAGACACTTGTTCGGACCAGTTAACTTGAGCTCAAGTAAAAAAAATTGATCAGAAACATAAAATCTACGATTTCAGTAAAGCATATTTATTATGATGTTGACACGGAGACACTGGCGACAGCTTAGGACAACGATCTCGATGATGGAGGTGTGCCTACCAAATTTCCGAAGTAAAGTGTTTGTCAGCTGTTTGTGGCGTGATTGCATTACACTGATATTTTCCAACAAATTTTCAAATTTATTGTGAGTAAAGTTTAATGAAAAAAAATTATAGCATTCAGAGGTCTACAAGAAAAAATAAGGGTAAACGTTGAGACAATGCAGCTCAGACATGAAACTTATAACACGTAGTTTTCTATTCTCTATGTAAAATCGATCAAGAACTGTATTAAATACTTGTTTACATTGTAAATAAAATGATCGTTATTTTACTTGCGTATTTTGTACATTTTTATGCATGAAAAACATGCTATATTGCTAAGTAGAGTAAGTCTTTTTATGTAGTTATTTTTGCGCTGTGTGATTAGGTCATGTAATGACCTATGACCTTCGAAAAACTTCATACAGGTATGAAGATATTTGCTCTCTGTGTGTTTATATAATAGAAAGATACCACAAATGTATTTATTATAAATTAAACTTGGCGTTGATCTTATATAAAAGATTAAATAGTTAATGGTTCAGATTTTTTATTCCACATTTTCAATTAATAGTTGCACTGTTCAGGAAATTTAGAAGCAATTTCAGGAAGGGTATACAAGCGAACAACATGTTTTTAACAAGTTTAGGTGGCGCAACCGAGTATTATCATTAGTTATCTATTGTATGTAATTTCAAGTTCTAAATACATGGAGAAACCTGACAAGTACATGTATTACCATTCTGTTGCACCATCATTGAATTAATGTGCGCAGCAAATCAATTCTTATCAATCATCAAAATAATTAAAGGGAACAAAACTAGTAATTGATTTGATCCGTACATCATTTTCTTTGTTGAACTGTACAATGCAATGGACTGGAATTATTGCTCGAAAAAAAATTAATAAATTGTTGCTCAATTAATGGAGTGAATGATACTATGAATTAAATTGAAGGGAGCAATTATTCATAAAAGTAATCAGAGATCAGCTATACAAACTACTGTCATTTCTCCTATGCCTAGCTCATTCAAATCTGTTTCACAAGTAAAAAACCCAGTTCCTTTGACCCATTAAAATGATATTCAAACAACACAAAAGAACCAAGGATTTGGGTTGGTAAAAAAAGGTTTACGATTCGGAAATTTAAATTTTTGTCATATTATTCCAAAAATTGATGAAATAAAACTACTGCTCCAAAATAGACAAACTTTAGATATTCTAGGTATATGCGAAACATTTTTGACCGAGCAGATAGGCAACTCTGAATTGAATATTGAGGACTTCTTTTTTGAAAGAAAAGATCGTGTACTAAAGGCAGGTGGTGGAATTTTAATATACATTTCAAATGATATTTCATATAAACGTAGAACTGATTTTGAAATCAGTAATATTGAGACAATCTGGCTAGAGATAAATTTAAGAAATTCAAAACCTATATTTTATTGTTCTGCTTATCGTCCACCATCTGCCCCCTCCTGCTGGGCAGAGGACCTAGCAAGGGAGGTTAACCGTGCCTCCTGCTGTGATGATACTGAAATAATTCTAGCAGGTGATTTTAATATTGATTTAATGAAAGACCCCCCACAATACTGGACATCTGCTTTAGAGGAGTTTGGACTTTCACAGATAATTATTATTCCAACTAGAATAACAAGTACCTCAAGTACCTTAATTGAACATTTTTATACAACCAAACCAGAAAACATATGTGAAACCAGTGTGCCCCCTATTGCTATATCTGACCACTACCCTGTATGTTTGACACGGAAAACTAACTGCATACAGCGTAAGGGAAAACATACTGAAATCCAATATCGAGATTTTAAAAAATTCAATGAAAATAAGTTTCTAAGAGATTTAGAAAATGCAAATTTTAACACTCTTCTTGAACTAAAAGACCCAAACGAAATATTGAATAAATTTTATGAATTATTTAATGATATTCTTAACAAACATGCCAAAGTAAAAACTAAAAGAGTCAAGACTGAAATTCGACCTAAATGGCTTACACAGGAAATAAATTATGCTAGACTTTTACGTGATACATACCATCTACAAAGAAATTCAGAAAATTACAAATTTTGGAGAAATAAAGTCACTCAATTAATAGATCAAGCCAAATCAAAGTATTACAAATCAGCAATTGAAGAAAGTTCAAGTCCTAAAGAAATGTGGAGTTATTTAAACCATTTGGCATCCAATTCCAAAAATTTTACACCTAACCGTATTACACAAAATGGTTTGGATTTTGAAAATTTACAGGATATTGTTGATATCTTTAACAAACACTTTACAGAAATATCCTGTAAGTTATTAGCAAATATATCAGTACAAAGTTTTGATTCAGAATTATTAAATCAATTTACAGAAACTAAACTAGGGAAAGAAAATTTTCAGTATAAATCAAATAAGTGAGTTTGAAGTATTTAATATGTTGAATACACTTGATGTGAACAAGTCAGCAGGCATTGACTTTATTGGACCTCGTCTACTAAAACTTTCGGCAAATGTTATATGCAAATCTATTACACATCTTATAAATGCTAGCATTACTAATGGTGTATTTCCATCCCGTTTAAAACAAGCAAAAGTCACTCCTATTTTCAAAAATGGCGACCACGCAGATCCAGGGAACTACAGACCCATATCCATTCTTCCAACATTATCAAAATTAGTTGAAAAACACATAGCCAATCATATACGTAACTTTACCTCTAGCTTTGATCTTTTATTTAAATCACAATCTGGATTTCGAGAATTCCATTCATGTCAAACGGCTCTAACAAAACTAACAGATAATTGGTTACAAGCTATGGACCAAGGAAATCTAGTAGGCATAACTTTCCTTGATTTTAGCAAGGCATTTGATTTGGTTAATCATGATATCCTTATAAGTAAACTTCAATCATATCACTTTGACCAAATGGCTATTAAATGGTTTCATTCTTATCTAACCTCAAGGTCTCAGTGTGTAAAAATAGGTACATATTCCTCTGATTTCTTGCCTGTCACAGCAGGAGTGCCCCAGGGATCTATCTTAGGTCCCCTACTATTTTTATTGTATATAAATGATCTCCCTTTACATGTAAATAGCACAGATATTGATATGTTTGCTGATGATGCAACCTTAATTCACATCATAAAAATGTAGAAGATACTGAGAATGCCCTTAACTTTGATTTGTGTGAGATTGAAAATTGGTGTTCCAAAAATCAAATGGTGTTGAATACCAATAAGACAAAATGTATGCTTATGGGAACTCAACATAGAAAATCAAAGATAAATTCTCCTGAATTAAATTTATATGCTTCAAACAAATTAATTGAAAATGTTGAATCTGAAAAACTTTTGGGAGTATATATTGATCATTCATTGCGCTATAATTACCATATTGACTCAGTTTGTAAATCTTTGACGTATAAATTATATACCTTACGCAGAATTAAAAAATTTCTCCCATTACACACAAGAAAACTATTCTATAATGCATACATTCTGCCTTCTTTAAATTATTGTCTAACTATTTGGGGTAATGCGCCAGGTGCTGGCATAGATAGAGTTTTTAAATTGCAAAAAAGGGCAGCCCGGATTATATTAGATGTGGCTTATGATGCCCCTTCACTACCATTATTTGAAAAACTTGGATGGCTGACCATATATGAGTTGATTGATTTTCATAAATATGTATTACTGTACAAAACACTTCATGGTATGGCACCTGATTATTTAAGAGACTCTTTTGAATTTATTTCTTCTAATAATTATGTTTTACGATCTGAAAACAACTATGACCTTCGTCTACCGAAATATCGAACAAATCAATTTAAAAATTCTTTTTATTATTCCGGTGTTCATTTATGGAACAAATTACCTTTGTATATACGTTTTTCACCAACTGTACACACATTTCGTAAAAATGTGGAAAAATTTATTATAACTTGCCGCAACACTGTTTAAGTAACGTAATTCCATGTCCTAAACTTTTAATTGTACTTGTATTTTTACATCATGTTGTATTGTTTAATAAGTGAACAATGTTTTCATAATTGTATTATTATTAATATGTTTA